GCCTTCTCCCAAAAGCTGTGAAGGAACTTCTCTCATGGGAACTTTGTTTTGCTTTGTTTTTAGCTTTCCCACTTGGACGCGGGTGGCACTGTGGTCTAAACCACAGAGCCTAGGGCTTGCCAATCAGAAGGTTGGCAGTTCAAATCCCCATGGCAGGGTGAGCTCCCGTTGCTCGGTCCCAGCTCCTGCCAACCTAGCAGTTTGAAAGCACATCAAGTGCAAGTAGATAAATAGGTACCGCTCCGACAGGAAGGTAAACGGTGTTTCCGTGCGCTGCTCTGGTTCACCAGAAGCAGCTTAGTCATGCTGGCCACATGACCCAGAAAAACTGTCTCCTGACAAACGCTGGCTCCCTCGGCCTATAGAGCGAGATGAGCGCTGCAACCCCAGAGTCGTCCGGAGTCAGGAGTCCCTTTACCTTTACCTTTTACTGTGCTAGGTTGTGGGGGGTTCCCTGCTGCAAAATGTTGCAGTGTGCAGTACTTCAGAACGTCAGCCAGCCATGCCCTTTCCTAAGATACTCCATCACATTTCCCTCAGTTTTCTGCTCCCCTCACAACAGTCTGCATTCTGTACCAACTGAGCATAGTCAATCTTAACTCCTGGTAGCATATTTCATGATAATTTTTGTAGAGAAGATCAAGCCAGTTAAGAAACAAATGTTTAGTGTGTGTGGTTTAGTGTCAAATAATGTTAGTTAAAACACAAAATTATTAGGTAAAGAAGCTTAAAAATGTTAATCTAGCCGCTACAGAATTGCCTTATATCTTGGGTCTGATGCTGCTGGAACATCTTACTCTTGGCCTTGCCCCCATATCCCATACTGATGAAACCTAAGCATGATTTTTTGCAAAAAAAGTTTCAGTCCACAGATTCCCCATGTAGTGAACTATTCAGGGCAGCAGGTGTTTTTTGCAATGCACCTGTTAAACAAACTTGATTTGATTGCAGAGCAGCTTATTCAAGGTTTCTATCTTGAACAACACACCTTTCAATTAACTGGGGAAGGGTTATTCATTCAGTGCACATACCATCACAAGCTCTCTTACCTTTTCCTTTTGTGCTTGTGTAATTTCAGGATCCTGTGTTTTACAGGGTTGCACAATAGCTTCTTATTAGCATTGCCAAGAATGCTAGGTTTCAGAAATTAAAGACAAGCTGTATCCTCAGAGCCAACATTACCCTGGATTAAAAATATAAATACCTGTGTTTCAATGGCAAAATACACAGGCTGCTCATAAATTGTAAATAGCTGTCTAGCTACATAGTTTTCTGTGCATTATACATATAAACAGGGTGACTGGACCTTATAGGACTATCGGAAGCTTCCTTCTACAAGATAAGACTAGTTATTCCATCTACTCCAGTATGCTCTACTCTGCCACTAATTTTCCAGAGCCTTTCCCATCACTTGCTCCCTGACCCCTTTTAACTAGAGATGCCAAGAATTGAAACTGGGAGCTGAACTGAGTGCATGTCTGAAATTGTGCCCACTTCTACGTGCACAAGGCCTTCACATTTGGAAATGGAACCGATTCTGTTTTTCCCCATCAACTCTCTGTAGTCTGATCAGCAAGGCAGGCACATTGTGGTTGTATTCCCCAGGCCAGGTAAAGAGATAACACAATACTCGGGACATGGGTGTGAGTGAAAATAGGTCACAACCTTTTACTGGCTACAGTGAGGAAAGCAGGGTTGCCATGGCATTGAGTCAGGGTCCATTAACCTCCAGTACTTCCTGTCTGAAGCCTGATATGCCATACCAACTGGGGAAAGCCATGGGAGTTGACCAGGGCACAAAGACCCAACGTGGTGCAAACCATGTGACTGGAATCCTGTTGCTAACCTGAGATGAGTTGCACCAGGCCCAGTCCACTCCAAGTTCAGGGCAGGAGCCCAGGCACCTCTACAAGGTCCTTCAAGAGGGTTCCCCTTACGTTTGGATCCTGCCCAGTGCCATTTCCACTCAAGCTGCAACAGTTCCTATGTAGAAGACACCTAACAATCACCTGCTATCAACTGAGAGAGAGAGGCAAAAAAACTCTCAGCGAAAGGCTATGGGTGTCCTTTCAGGCCCTGTCAAATCAGCGGCCACTCAACACCTCAGTGGAAGACTTTAAAACCAAGGGAAGGTTGGGAAAATTCACCTATGAGGTAAGAGAGAAAGAATGGGTATTCTTTTCCTCTCTGAATGAAAGGTTTGTGAAGCTGAAAGCTGCAGAAGGGCAGGAACTGAATCATGGCTATTTAAGCAGTTCTGTATTCTGTGCCTTAATCATACATCCATATTTGTACCCTTGTAAATAAGCCACCACTAAGAGTACATTGGTTTTAAGTTCTCTCTAAGGTTTAGGCCACATTTTTTAAATGACACAACACTATATAATTTGCAGCTGTATTCACAGAATGGCTCTTTTATTTTTCAAATGCCAATTTTTCTTCTCAACCTTAATTTTTCACCATCTACTTAAAAAAAATTCTGACCCTGCAATACTGTTCTGGCAGGACTCTTGATTCACAAGACCTTTACTAAACACAGGTCAGTTTATAGCTTTGGTTCCCAGTTTGGTTCCTTGAACTTATGTGGTTTTAAAGGATAGCTTGCCAGTACTGATTTTATTTACCAAAAGATAAAAGTCTTATTGATTTCCTGTTAACTATAACAAATACCTGCCTAATTGGTCTCAAATGTTATAGCCTAGGTTTGCAAACATTTCAACCAGCCTCTATGGTTCCCTTTTTGATGGCAAGTTTATATGCTGGTGTAACAATGTTATACAGATATTTCTGCCCTCAGCTCTATGTGTGTATAGTTAATATAATGACACTAATGCCACACAGGAACAGTTAAAAAGGACAGGATGAGGTAGAGGCTGCCAGTGACTTGGCATACTTCAGAGTGCAGCAGCTATTAAAAATTGAGCAGCAAAATCACTCAGCAGTGGCTGCTTCTTTTCTTTCTTTTTCTTTAAGTATGAAGAAATTGTGTTCTCTTATTATTGAATGTCTCTAGAATTGTGCCAAGGAATATAATCATGCTGCTTGTTCCTGTGCAGCCCTCCTGGAGGATTATGAGCAGTTGAGTTAGGACCTCGTAAAGTTTTCAGCAGCACAATTGCCAGGACCCAGTATCAACAGTAACAGGCAAATAAATAACATCCTCTGAGCCATTTTCAGTAACCCAAGAATCATTTTGCAAGCATGTTGTGCTATCACCTCCCTTTCCTCCTCCACTTTCTCCTTTTTCACTTCCCTCTCAAGAAAGGAACCTTTCTACACAGGTTTTAAGTACGAACAAATAACCTAAGCCTCCAAAATACAAATATTGTTGGAGAGAGAGAGAGAGAGAGAGAGAGAGAGATGATAACCACCCAACTGAAAAGAATGCATTATCTAGGAATATTTTAATTTTCTTTGAATCCAGTGTGAAGCCTGCATTTGGGTGAGGGGTGAGAGACTCTGCAGTTGCCATTAGAGGATGGTTGTTTCACCTGAGTTGCCCCACCCTGCAGCCCTAGTAACCTTCATAAGGAAGCTGCTGTAATGTGAAAAAAGCCTTCCTCTAGTGGTCAACACACAGCAACTGAAGCAGGGTCTGAACCCACAGTGAAATGGATCTTCATTATCAGTTTCCCCCAGGAATGCCTGCAGCTGCATCACCACAGCCTGAACTCATGCCCCCAGCAGCTAGCTTTCATCAGCCATGGATTTTACTATTTACTATTTACTACTGAACTGTGGGGGACGCGGGTGGCGCTGTGGGTTAAACCACAGAGCCTAGGACTTGCTGATCAGAAGGTCAGCGGTTCGAATCCCTGCGACAGGGTGAGCTCCCATTGTTCGGTCCCTGCTCCTGCCAACCTAGCAGTTTGAAAGCACGTCACAGTGCAAGTAGATAAATAGGTACCGTTCCGGGGGGAAGGTAAACGGTGTTTCCGCGCACTGCTCTGGTTCGCCAGAAGTGGCTTAGTCATGCTGGCCACATGACCCGGAAGCTGTACGCCGGCTCCCTTGGCCAATAAAGCGAGATGAGCGCAGCAACCCCAGAGTCGGTCACAACTGGACCTAATGGTCAGGGGTCCCTTTACCTTTACCTTTACTGAACTGTAATGCCTCAGAACTGTGAGTGGAAAACAACTTCAAACCACAGACTAGGCCAAGAAGTATGGATCATCTCAGCGTCCATAATGAAGCCAAAGATTGCTGTATTACCTCTGGAGCTGCATATTAATTCCTATAGCACTACAGGGTTAAGAACTTAATTTGTTCCGGAGGTCCTTTCTTAACCTGAAACTGTTCTTAACCTGAAGCACCACTTTAGCTAATAGGGCCTCCCGCTGCCACCGCGCGATTTCTGTTCTTATCCTAAAGCAAAGTTCTTAACCCGAGGTACTATTTCTGGGCTAGTGGAGTCTGTAACCTGAAGCGTCTGTAACCTGAAGTGTTTGTAACCTGAGGTACCACTGTATCTGTACTCAGGGTATTTTAAGAGTTGACATAAAACAGATCCCTTCAAAAAGCTTTCAACTGAAACTGCTACTTGGAAGATGAACAATGAGAAGGGAGAGCATAGAAAACAAAGGCATGTGGGTATAAATCTGTAATATGAATATTCTAAGTGAATTTATACCAATATTCCCATACACAGCACCCACAATTAAGTTCAACTTCTCATCCACATCGAGCATTTAACAACAAATAATAACCTCTAAGAAACTTGTGAAATGGAGCCTCTTGTGGGTATGCTTTGTCTGAGAGGGAGGGTCAATGCCCGTTTTGACATTTGAGATCGAGATTGAATTGTATATGAAAATCCTCATTGCTCTGCTGATGCCTAAAGGCACCAGTTGTGAACTGGTGGCTCTCCAGATATAAGACTCCCAACTCCTATCAGTCTCAGCCAGCAAGTCCAATTGCCAGGGGTAGATACAGGTATCAGCATGCCTTCCCAGTACAAATGTGCTAATATTCCTGATCAGATTAGCATATCAAAGTGTTTCTCCTAGGGATCATAGCTTAGTGGTAGAGCATCTTCTCTGCATGCAGAAAATCTCTGGTTCAATCCCTGTCATGAAGGCAATTTTTCCCTGCTCTTCAACTAAACAGGCTCTCACAACAATTTACAGAACAATACCAATCAAAATGACCTCTGTACTCAGGCTTATAATCTAAGAGACAAAACAAAAAAGTGGGAGGGAGAGGTGAGGAGGGAGGAAAAGGCAGCAAAGGTAGGTCTCCTCTCTGAGGAAGCAGGACATTTCAGATCTGCTATCCAGCTTCCATCTACTTTTAATTTCATTACAAGTTTGCATTCTGTTGTATACTATTAAATATTTCCATCTGTTTGTATCCCCACCCTCCATGGTAGTATTTAGAAAATGGACACAAATATCAGCATAAATGAATTAGGGGAAGAAATAGGCAAACAAATTTGATGAGTGCAATTATTTCTTTTAAACAAACATGAAGGATCTGGACAATTGTAGCCTGCCTGGCTTAAGGGAAGACTAAGAAAGCATGGCACTAGATGGGAACTAGCTCAGTGGCACAACTCCCACTGTGCTTGCAGAAGGCCCCACGTCCAATCCCCAGGGTCTCCAAATAGGGCTGGAGAAATCTCATGTCCAAAACCCTGGAGAGCTACTGCCAGTCAGTATAGATTGTAGAGTTGGAAGGGACCACTAGGATTATCTAGTCCAACCCCCTGCAATGCAGGAATCTTTTGCCCAGCATGGTGTTCAAACCCATGACCCTGATATTAAGATTCTTGTGCTCTACCAACTGAGCTATTTTTAAAAAAAATTCTTTTTATTGATTTTAATTTACCAACTGAGCTATATGTGCTGCTTCAGCTAGAAAGACCAAGGCAGCTTCCTACTACTGAGGAGGGAAGATTTTTCCTCTATACTTCATCAGTAAATACCATAACGATGTGATGAACTGCCTGCTTTGGTGTTCATGAATGCCACCCAGAGAGCAACAATCAGAACTGATACTAAAGAACTATGCTGAACAATTGATCTAACTCATAATACACAGTGCATTTATTCAACGGTTTCTTTCTTTTCTTTGGAAAATAACAGGAATGATATTACTTCCCCACATACCTGCTAGAATCCTTTGTATATTAAGGCATAATGCTGCATGATAGAACTTTTGGGATTAAGATGGGCGATTGCATTCCTATCGCAGGAATGTCAAACTGCCTGCCAAGCAATGAACGGTGTTCAATAAACTCTCTAGACAGGCCATATCCAGAAAGTTTGTTGAGCTGAATGCCCAGCTCTTCCTTGTTTGTTTGCACAGATTTTAAATGGCTTCTCCCCAAAGATGCTCTTCTGTTTGTGAGTTTTTAGAAAAATATGATCACTGGTAAAATGCAATTCCCACTAGGAAGCCCATTGGGTAATTCTTATGTCATCTCTGATGAAAGCTACATAACCCCTCCATCCTCACACCATGGTGACTGTTTTGGTGTTAGTCTGTGGGTTTAACTTGTGGCTTTTACCTGTGCTTTATCTAGAATTTTGGAATGTGCACTACTCACAGCTTTGTGATTAAGCAGTCTACAAATCTTTCTAAATAAAGGAGATTTAAATTTTGGGGGGGAGGCCTACCTTAAAAAGTTGCCCTGCTTTCCCACTTCAAGGACTTCTTGGCCTAGCAGGCTCTTTACATCTTTAATAGCTTCATTCCAAGGGAAAGTTAAGCTGCTGAAATCTCTTTCATCTTAAGGCTGTGTTAATGGGAGATGTTGTGCCTACCAAAACTCCCCCCCCCCCATGCAGATACTCATAAACACAGCATCTTTAAGAAGGGGACATCTGACAAACTTGTTAGACCATCATTTTGAGCGAATATGGGAGACAACCCCCTCCCCATCTTAAACCAGCTGGCTGTGTTGCTTTTAATACCAGGACACCTCTTCTTTAAAAATAAATAAATAAAACAATTACATCTGCATGCATTTAAATAAGTTAGCATTTGCCACTAAACAACAACCTTGTTTTTATTCTGAAATATTCTAATCGGAATAATGAAGCCTTTATAATATTCTCTCCCTCCCTCCTTCTCTCCCCCGCTGATCTGCTCCTGACTAGATTTCCAAATGGAGTTCTTGGAAGTATAAAGCCAATGCAAATCCTTTTCCTGCAGATGCTCTTGCTGCCTACCGCTGTGTTGCTGTCTGCAGTCTGGCAGTGCAGCATCGCCTGCCCATTTCTGATGGCATCCCGGCTACATACAAACACAGCCATGGGAAGCATACAGGTAAACAGCCTCCTTAATGCCAGCTTGTGTAGAATAGAGAGCTCCAAGAGGGGAAGTTTTATCAGCAGCCTGAGATTCTTCCTGACTGACTCTACCTTTTAACAGATTTTTTTTACCTAAACCCTTAACACAAACCTGCAGAGCCACATTGCTTGAGTCATCCAAGGATGCAGTAGCTTGAATCCTACTAGAGTCACAAAATGCTTTAAGTGAGCATTGCCCTGCTGTAGGGCTACTTAAAAGCTATGGACAAAGGGGCAGTTTTGAGTCTCCAAACAGCCTCACAGTGGGATTTCCAGATCACAAGTAATGCTGGAAATATCTGAGAAGAAATACAGATGACTTTTAAATAATTATTTCTTTTTAAAGTAACTTGGAAGTGGAGCATGCTTGCATTTAGGATGGTTAGCTTCCAAGTTACCGTGATATTTCTGCATTCAGGATGTATAGATTATGAGTGTGTGCATATGTGCATATTAAGAAGATAGTTTAGTTGTTTTCTATGGTAAGAGGAACATTTGGCTCGTTCACACATTTCCTTTTCTGGCTTTTGCTGTAGAATAAGCACAGTATCTAGGTGGTAAACTTAACGCATCCATAAAACAGCATAAAATACCTAGTCAACCTCTGGACATAATAACCCATGCGTAAGCTATACATATCAGCAAGGCCTTGTAAACAGAAGACTCTTAAACCAGCATTTGAAACAAAATACTTATGGTGCTTTTCAGAGGGTTTTTATTACAGAAACTGATGGGGAGTATATCTCACTTCCTTGCCTGTCTGATTATTAATGGATTTTTCTGCATGATGAACTCTAAAAAGTTTCTTGCATTTCATTTTGTTTGTTTGGTTTTTTGGTAAATTGAAAAATGCTGCTCTGCTGACACGCTGTAATCCAGACTAGAAACATTTGTCCTATAACCCAGAAACTCTTGGCTTCCTATATATCTTGCTTTTGTCCTATTCTGCGGTATTTAGTGCCATTCACATCTAGGCTCTAAGTGCATTCTGTTCTGCAGCATCACCTCTTAGCTGACACTACAATCTTCATCTCTGCTAGTGCCTCTTCTTCCTGGGGGATTTCTGGCACCAGCTCCCACTTTTATCTTTTCTCAGAAATTTGTGTTTTGAAGATCCCTCCCTGCCTCTCAGCCCTCTCCCCAAATCCAAACAAGCAGAGTTAAGGACCAGTCTCATTCATAACAACTGACTTCTGGAGAAAGAGAGAGGCCTTTATATGAACGTTCCCTTGGGCTATTAGAAAAATTCCAAAATATAGTGTCAGGACTCCAGGAGCATATCTGACGAAATGAAAGGCTGACATAGTGCAGCGCTTTGCTGACAGATGGTTAGAAGTATATGTTGAAGGGAGAACAGACATTAGTATTCTGATGCTTAAGAAAATGGGAGCAGTTCTTACGGGTCTCAGCACTTTTAGAAGCGCACTTCCCTGCACAGATGCAGTAGTCTAAAATGAAAGGTAGAAAAACTGCACATGCATGATTGAAGGGAGCAGAGGAAAAGAGAAATATAGGCATTTTCTTAGTTTTTACTAGGACGGGAAGCAAATGAATGCCTCTTCTTAGAGTGCAGGCATCCCTCCCCAAACCTCCTGTCTTGCATAACAAGAACTGCAGCACCGTATCGAGTTTCAAAACTTCACAACCCTTTTGGGTTCCCAGAAGAGAAAACTGCTATCAGGCATCGGTCAATAAACTAAGCTTAACATCAAGACCTCATTACTTAAAGTTGTTATCAGAGTCACTCCTCAACTTATTATATCTATATTAATCATTCCTTCATTTCAAAGCACTGTAGTAAATACACAGCTTTCTTTGTGTTGCTTCTTCAGAAGATAAAAAACAGTATGTACTTAAATATTGTGGTGTATACAACCATGATAATTTATGAGGGGCATGTCTATAAATATTATTATGATGCATAAAGATCAAATGCAATTACCAATCAGTCCCAGGTGCATTGTGCAAATATATCAGTTTTATTTCTCTTCTGTGGAAATAATTACAGACATTCAGGTATAAACATTTTAAGTTAATGCAGTCCAGAGTTTAAATGCAAAAATAAATATAAAGTCCAGCAGCGGATTGCATCCATAAAGCATCTCATATTTTTTTTAACAGTTAGAAAAAGATGTGCAATTTTTTATTTATTTCCCCTTCGTTTTCTAAAAAAGCGGGATGGGAGGAGGAGAGAGAGAAAAACTCAGTCAAGGTAGAAGCAAACATACAAGCACTTTCTTTAAAAGGATTTTGACCTCACTTGCGAACTGCCCTGGGCATCTACTACATTCACACCGGATCTTTATCAGAGTTTTAAAGAAAAGAAGGGAAAGGAAACGAGGAGGTGGCGACTCGCACGCTCTTCCCAAAGTCTCTTGTCTTGTTACAGGATTTGGATGGACTGTAGGAGGCAAAACAAGGAGGGGGCGTCCGTTCCCGGCGAGGGAAAAGCCAAACAACCAGAAACCGTCCCTTTCGGGCTTTAGAAAATAGACTCTGCGGAGTTCCTCCCGGTTTCACTTCCTTATGGAGCGCAGCGCCTTGGGGAGCGCGGGGCCAGAGAGGGGCGGCGGGTGTCCCGTCCTGTCCTGCCCGCTTCTCCTGCCCACCTCCCGGGTCCCTCAGAGCGGGGAGTCGGAGTCGCTGGAGTCCAGGCTGTTCCTCAGGCGGCTGCAGCTGCTGAGCTTCTTCTCCCTCTGCTGCAGGCTGAGGTTCTGCGTGCTCCTCCGGAGGCACTCGAGGGACTGCAGGAAGGACTTCTTGGCTTTCTCCTCCTCCATGGGGGAGACCCCTTCCTCCTCCACCTCCTGGATCTCGTCGAAGGTCACCGGCTGCGTCTTGAAGCGCGTCTGGCGGGGTCTGCGCAGCTTGCCCCGAGGCAGCTTGGCCGGCCGGGTGGGCTGAGGGAACTCCTCGGCGATGCAGACGAAGTGCGGCATCACCGCCTGGTAGCTCGAGCAGATGCCCATCAGCTCCGCGGGCTTGGCGGCGGCGGCAGCCATCGAGCGGGGGAAAGAGAAAAGCAGCAAAAAAGGGAACGCCGAGAAAGAGCGCGCGCGCGCCAGCAAACGAGCGCCCCGAAGAGCGCCTCGCGCTTGGGTCTCGCTTTGTGCTGCTGCTTATTCTTCGCTGCCTTGAGGCGTTTCTCTCTAAGGCGAAGGAGACCCGGGCGAAAAAGGCGGGAAAGCCGCCGGAGGTGGGGCGAGAGGGTGGCTTCTGCCGCTTCGCAGCCGAAAAAGCGCGCTGGGGAGGCGGGTAAATCCTGCTGGTGGCGGCGACTGGCAGAAAGAAGCGCGCGCTCCGCTAGCGTCCCCTCGCCACGCTGCTTCCGCGCCTGGCTGGATCTCCCCGCGCTCCCCGCCGATATATATATACCCCTCGCCTGCCCACACAGGAGCATGCTCAGATGACAAGCAATGCCATTTAAAGGCGCTGAGGCCGCTTCCCTTCCGCCTGACGACGACGTCGACGCGCGCTCCCACCGCCCCTCTCCCTCGCCGCCGTGGGGGGATTGCTCTTCCAAGGAGCGGCGGAAAGCCCCGCCAGCACCCACCGCAGAAACGGCCGGGGGAGGGAGCGAGGGAACCCGGAAGGCGAGGCGGAGGTGAGGGGACGAGACGAGGGACGCCCCAAAACACGTCGCCCCCGCCTGCTGGGGGAGGGGGGTGTTCCTGGAGAAGAAGCGGCCCCTTTTTCGCAGGGGGAGGCGGCGAAGGCAGCCGGGAAAGCAGACGCGGAATAGGCGCGATGGGATCTTCCGACTTTCTTTTTTTTAACTTTGAAGCAGCCGCAGGGGAAGCATAGAATCATAGAAGTCCGACTTGGATCATAGAAGTGTGGAGTTGGAAGGGGTCCCAAGGGTCATCTAGTCCAACCCACTGCAATGCTAGGGGATTTTATTAGCAGCGTTCACGGCGGGGGGGGAGGGAAGGTTTAAGCGCGTGAGTGTGGATTTAAATCCCGCTCCCCACACGGTCCGTTTCCTTCCTCTTTGCAGCCCCAGATTCTGGCTGCTGTTACCCCACTTGCACTGGGGACGATTTTCACACACAAGCACGACTTAAGACGGCCAAAAAGATCAGTGCAGACATACATCGTGTCGCTTGCAAAGCAACGCTTGGTTTTGTCAACCCGATTTGGAAGGAAGAGGGCTTTGGGATGGTTGGTCTGGGGCTCCGTCGCTTCAGCCCGCCTAACCCTTGCCTTGTGCTGCAAAACGGATCCCCACAAATGGCGAAGGGTTGCATTTGGACGGACTGCCGTGTATGTATGGACAACACGCGTTACTCCAAGACACGGGTTGGGATCAATAGGGCAATTCCAAAGAAGGCAAATTTCTATGGGGGGAGGGGAGTTTGGGGCCACAGCTCTCTCCCAAGACGTTTGGCTTCTGACAACGTACTTTATTGGTTTTTAGTAAGAATAATGCTAATCTGTCCTTCATCCAGGGCATAATACAATATACAGATCTCATACAATTACATAAAACAGTCATGGAATTTCAGTTGTCTGCAGTGGTAAAATAGACATAGAGTTGGGAAAGACGTCTGTTTGAGATTTTGGACAGCCTCTGACAGGGGTCTGGCTCATTATAAGACAGTTTGACATGTTCATATAACATACATCACCTGTAAAAGAGAGTTGCTGCATCTTTCCATCCCACATTTGCAAATGATGTGAGAGGGGCACATAACATGATCGAGGAAACATGTTTTCAGACTTCAGGCTATGCTTGCCTCTCAAAATCACACTGACACCTTATTTGCTATGTATTCAACCCCCCCACCCAATGTAATAAGAAAGCTACTTGAGAATAACAGAAGCCGAAGAAATATTTTTTGGCTAAACATGTAACATCAAGACGACATTTTTTAATAATCATGTCAAAAAGATTGGATTTTTAAAAACACTATATTTGACATCCTCAATGAAAAGTTTATCTTCTAAAACTTACATTGTTGTTTTAATCAGCTACCCCCCCCAAAAAAAAAACCATAGGAAAGGATCACATATCTTGTCCACAACCTTCAAAAACTTGCTCCAGGCACCTCTCCCCTGGAAAGCTTTACCGCAACCCAAAGACTGCATTAAACTGTGACTGAAGCTATTGCATCACCAGACTTAATTCCTGGCTCCTTTGTGAGCAGAGTATATGGCATCAAATTGCGGGTGGGGGTGGAGAAGGATGCTAACTTGACAGGGCTAACCTTTGGATGTCTGTGTTACATCTGCACTGACTAACATCAGTGAGACTTGCCTGGTTTTTAAAGAGCGAGGCTGGTATGGCATATACTAAGATAGGGGCAGGGAAGCAAGCCTTGAATGCTAGAACAAAACTAAAATAGCATTGATTTTTCTAGATTTTTTGTGTATATACACAAGTATCGGTGTAGTTGAAAATATATTGAAATTAGCAATTAGCCGGCAGCCGGTGAGGTAGGACATACCCTTTAACAGTGTGGGGCAGCTCAATTCTGTTGATAGGGGAGCTTGAAGTGAATTTGTCATTATGTACATTTTCTGGTATGATTTGATTGGCCATGACAGTGTCCCCTGTAGGGGTGGAGGACCTATTAAGATGATCTCCCCCCTTTCCAAGAGGAATAGAATCAGAATTATTCCTGAATGGTCTGGGGGAATTTTCTCACAGATAGGGTTGACAATCCTGTCAAGGCACTAGTCTCAGTGTAGAATGGCGAGATGTGCAGGGCTACCAACATCATCACTCTAGCAGGGTTTTCCAAACTTGGGTCTCCAACTGTTTTTGGACTACAATTCCCATCATCTCTGACCACTGGTCCTAGCTAGGGATGATTGGAGTTGTAGTCCAACAGCAGCTGGAGATAAAAACCACCTCAGCCCAGCCGTGAAGCTCGTTCAGAAGGATATTGTGGTCAACAGTCTCAAAAGCTGCAGAGAAGTTGATACAGTATAAATGAAAAGTAGAAGATGTGGGCTGTAAGCTTTGTTGGCAGCTCCAGCCCCATCACCTTGGAACCCCGAGGGAATGTTCAGTGGCATGTATTTATTTAATCAATTAATCTTTAAACTCAAGTGAATCAGGCATCAGAGAACTTGAGCAAGTATGCTTGAGCTCATTTGCACACTTAAGCTCTGAACCTGCATGTTCAGAACAAAGGGCTCTATCCAGTCTTGTGCCAGCAGATTTCCACTGGCACAATGGGATTTTAATCTCTCCTACTCCTACTCTCATGGTTCCAAAAATCTGCTCCTACCCTAACTCTCTGGAGCTGATTTTGAGGGTGCGGAGGGGGGGGGGCTGGCAGGGACAAGAGCGGAAGAGGCAGCATGAAATAGAAGACTTGAATGTACAGTCTTTGAGTCCAAAGTTAATTCCAAGGATTCCAAAGATTGTTCCATTACAGCAGGAACAAATGGCACCATTTTGTCCCTTCTTATTCACATGATGACTGCAAAATCGCAGAGTTTTGGAAGGCAAAGTGAATGTTTGCTTAGAAGATACCTGGACTGAGAGCAGACAAGAAATAAGCAGGATAAGAAAAGACTTTCAGATTCAAGAAGGGGTGGCATCTACTGGAATCATTATGGCCTTGCAAAAGTAGCAACAAGGCCTTTTGGCAGCCTGTCGAGCTACAATTAACTTCTCTGGTGGTGGTGGGAAGATATATTAGCTGCCAACAGGAGAAGAAATTAATGATTAAAGTTCTTTGCTGCAGCCTCTCAGCTCCTTGGCTTTTAAAAGCATCTTCGGTTCAGGATCAATGGCAAGCTATTTTTGTTGGAAATACAGTTAAGTTAATGAAGTAATGATAGCATTGTTTTTCCCCAAAACGAAATAATTATGTATGCCTTAAATGCATTTCCTCATGAATAAATTCTGTCAATGTCCATGGGATTTAGGAATATAGATGCAGAAACTTAGGCTGCAATCCTATACATACTTAATTGGGAGTATGTTCCATTGAGCTCAATGGGATTATTTCTGAATAGACATATACTGTATATGATTGCACTATTAATCCCTCAAATGAAAGTCCCTGAGAAAAACATCTTCAGCTTTGATCTGAAATACAGCATACACTTTTGTTGACGTGTAAGAAAATTTGCAGCTCATACACGTGAAAATAAATATTCCACAATGGTCCTTACTCTAGATTTTAATGGAAAGCCTTAATTCATTTTGGAATTCAATATATAGGAACTGATCCGAGTAACTATTATAGGAATGCCCAATGGGATTTTTTGACCTTTCCCTTTTAACTGCAGGCTTTCGCAAGGAACATCACAAACTACTTTGAAACTCCTTTCAGTTTCAGAAGACATATGCTATGCAAAGAAGGGGAACTGCTGTTCAGAGATAAACAGCCAAAACCCACTTTGGGCACATGGCACTAGTCAGGTGACTAGCCAGGTTTCTCAAGGAAATTCACCAGCAGAAGATGCTCATGAACATTATCCATTTCCTGTTGTTTACTTCCAGCATCTAGCAGTTTAAAGCATCTTTGAACAGAGTTTATGGGGTTTTTTTAATTCATGGCTAGTAGCTTTCTGAAGCTTCCTTTGAAGACAAGAATGAAGCATTACTAAGCAAATGCACAGATTTACCAATGTCTGCTTTCATAGAGCAAACCCTATTATTTAACACTGCTGAGCATTTCTGTCATGTTGGACTGGAGCTGCTACAGAGAAAGGGCTCGACAAGAGCAATTTTCCTCTTATATAAACAGATGTTTGACCTGCCTTAGCAACAGACTTATCAGAAAAGAATTAAATGCTCTGCACAAAGCACATTTGATTTCTAACCCATAATTAAATACTAATCATGTTCATTCTTCCCCTTCTACCCTTCCCTGTTTTTCCTCCATCTGGGTTGAGCTTTGCCATTGTGATAATAAATGACTTTGGATAATTTTCTGTTGAGTCAGGGTACCATCACCTGTGTGAAAATAAGAGAGATGCAATTCACCAAGCAATGGGACTACATAGTCTCTATTTATGTCAGTTTGGCCCATGTGGAAATCCCCTCTGGGCCCCTTTGCAACAGACACACACAGCAGTTGGGGCCAGTGGGTTTTGCCCAAGGAAGCCTAAATGTTTGATGAGACAATTCAGTGAAAATATGCAATGATGCAATCTTCCAACTTGAGCTTGCAAAGTGCACTAGTGTCTATATTTGTTCCTGTGGCTTAAGTCATTGCTTTAATCTAGATCCCTTTTGGTATCTGGAAATGTGACACCTGACATATAGATGACTGATATTTCATGCCATGTGGTTGCTCCAAGCAAGTATATTCCTTGCATAGAACAAATTCAATATAGCATATACATACAGACCGTGCCTGGCCAGGATTGCAGGAGACAAGCATTCGCCCCTTGTCTATATCTGGTAATGTCTGAAGTGCTGCATGTTAAATAA